AATTTCGCTTTATTTGTTATTTTGTTTCTTTCATCTGCTTTAATTTGCTGGAAATTGATATTAATTTAGACTGCTTTTGGCTTTGGCCATTGTTGTGTTAAAGCATCTGTAATTTGAAAGAAAAAGGGACAAACCTCACTTATCTTTTTTCATTTGGGTTTGTTTTTTTTTTTTTTTTCAGCTGGAGTCATATGTGATTTGGTACATATAACAAATCAAACCAATTCATTCATTGGAACTAATTATGCAACTCAAATCAAATTGAGACTATATGTAGATCTTAGAAGTTTTGTTTAGAATGGGGTGAGTAATAATATCTATCCATATTGAATTTTCTTATAAGTTTTGCTTGAGTAGAATGCATGCAATAGTAATCTATAGGCCTGAACAATCTCTTAGTGTTTAAGACGAACTCGTCTCTGTTCTATTCTTCTCCATCTTGGAGGAATGTAAAGACTAATTAGGAAGCAATCACAAGACCAACCAGTCAATATAATAAATCAATCAATATCTTCCAACAAGTAGAACATGACACGGAAAAAATTAATACAAAAACTAAGATGGGGTATAATGAGTGGGAGCTCTAGATTAGATGCAGACCAAGATGGCAGTCTGATATAAGGCTTGCCTGACTGTGTTTCTCCACATTGCTAAGGAGACAGTCAATTTGTCTAACCAGTGGCTTTTCCATTAGTTCCTTTGCTGGCGGCTCCGTCAGAAGAGCAAGCTTACCTAGAAGAGGCACAACCATATTTCCCCAGAATAATTGAATTGTTGTAATTGCACTCTGTCCACAAGACATTGTGGCTATGGAATTGTTGTCTTGCCTGAGCTAGAGGGATATGAATAAGGTTGTTTTTTTTTAATGCTATAAGTATGTTATGCTATGCTTGTTGGACGTTCGTTTTTATGTTATGCTTTGTTCTAGATGTGAAAAAGGTCGAGGAACATTTCTGATGATGATGATGATGTTGTGGAAGTTGAGGATAAGGGGAAAAGATGGACCAGACCTGAAAACAATGAGGATCTTTCTATTGATATAATGGATGAGAAGATCACAAAGGGCAACTGAAACTTTCTCTTAGTTGATAAACCACATGATCAAAAGTTGATTAACTTATTTGAGGATACAACAATAATCAGAAGACATGCCCATCCCACAACCAAATCTCCCTCAGATCCAACATATAGAAGCAGATATAAAACTAGAAGGTGACGGTGATACTAACGGGAAGGATGAAACTCAAAATGCATCCACATTCCAAGAAAACTAGTAAAAGGAGAAATCATATTAGTGATGTATACATTGTCTTCTATGATTCAAGTGTTTTTTGAGAGATCAAAGAACATGAATTAAATAGTTGAGAAAAGATTTGTTGTTTCTTCAAAATCACATAGTAATAATGTGGTTGAATCAACTGTAAACGGATATTGCAAAAGAAGAATTGATTGCCCCGGCACATGCACAACTTGGTTTAGGTAGAGCCGAAGCCCGACTCAAATTTTTGTAAAACTTCCCCAACCTTCTTTAAAAAAAATAAATAAAAATGATAGTCCAGCTTATATCCTATACACCCAATCTTCTTCTTGCACTACTTTTTCTTGTGATTAATTTAATTATAAAACTATTTAAAAAATTAGAAATTATGAGGTTTTTTATTTAGAAATTTATGGGTGTTACTTTTTTATTTTATTTAAGGAAGGTGTGTTATTAAGTTATTAGAAGCTATGTGCATATTTTTATTCTTATAAATGAAATTCACTCATACTATCGAGTTTTGTTTTATGTATAATTGGGGAAGTTCTTGAAAATGTAGTTGAAGATGTATGAGTAAATAATAAAAATGTTTAATATGTTATATACAAATTGAGAAATATCATAAAAATAAAGTAGACTCTGCCAAAATTTATGTAAAATTTTGGTCAAATGCAAAGTTTGCAAACCATGAACGAAGAAAGGCATGACAGAAAAACATATCCATGGGTTGCGGACAGACCATAGCCCCATGTTCAACAAATAGAGTTTACAATTAGGCCCATTCTTCAAATGAATTTTCAACAATTAGTTAGGCCCATTGTTATTAGGTAAATTTCGACTAAGTTCAAATATAAACGTGAAATTTTGTATTGGAAATTGGCATTTTCTGGAAGAAAAAAAAAACAAAAACAAGAAATTAGGTATGCATGAAGAGTTATTACAAATTTATATGACAGATATTAATATGTAAGTTTCTTACACAACATACCTGGCCATCAATATTTACTAGTATTGTCGTGTTAAAATAAAAATTACTATGCCACTTTATTTATTTATTTATTTATATTAACATAAACAAATTTAGGGGCAAATACAGCCATAACCCCAAAACGCATGCAAACTGTGAGGACATACTTTATATATGCAGAATATATAAAGTATGATCTTCTAATTTGGGCAATAGATTTTTACCAACACATATTGTAGGTATGATCTTCTAATTTGGTCTCACATCTTGCATTGCATGCTGAGTAAGTTATACATAGTTTGTCTAATCTTATATAATAGCATTTGAGAGGAAGTAGTAAATGTTCATTAAAATATCTCAAGCATTATTTTGTAATCTGGACATATTAGTTAGTATTAATATTTTTGAGATATTAGAGTAAATTAAATTGCATCTACCTTGCTGTCTTCTTCCCTAATATGTTGACATGTGGCCCTTGAATTGCCTCAAACATTGTTAACATTTTCTCATTTTTCACAATCTCTCCATTCACCAGAGCCAAACAAACCTCAATAATCAAATATTGAATATTGTTGATCATAAATTCGTATTTGACCAACCCAAAAAAAAAAAAAACACAAGTTCTTACATCTAAACGCATTTCCCTCTGGTTTATTGTTGTTGGGACTGCTAATTGGTTTTGCAATTATTTGCTTTTCCTCCATATATTATTACGGATTTCAAAAACCTAAAAACGACAAACAAATTTCTTAAAAACTGTTGATAGATAGATGGATGAATAATCCACTCATAATATATACAAAATGTATGAAATAGAGAGAAAAAATCAAATCTACTCAAGTAGTGAAATTGAAAGCAATAGAGAAAATAAGAGCAAATGAAAAAGAAAAAAAATATTGAGTATTTGAGAGCATGTTCGATTGGTGAGTGGTGAGATTTGAGAGTATGACTCGATGACTCGAATAAGAAAAGTCGGTCTTTTTTGTTATCTAACAGGAGTTAACAACATTTGAGTATGTTAAGTCAAGGACGTGTCAACAAATTAGGCAAAGAGACAGTGAGGGCACAAGCAATTTGGGTACATGAGATATGAAGTTAAGGTCATGACCATGAAGTTGTATGAATGAATGAATTAACATGTATTATGGATGAAGTATTAATATTTTAAGTCGCTTATTAAATTGTGCCACCACCACTAACGTACACCACCATATTTTCATGGTCGCCACGAGCACCATCGCTATCATTGTTGCCACAACCAGCCCAATCATCATCACTGCCATCGCAACCACTATTGCCACCACTACCACTAGTTTGCCATTGCAATCACACATCCACTACCACCACAACCATCATTATCGCAAACCACTCTTGCCGTTGCCAACTGCCTTACCATCCTCAGAACTTCTCCCACTACCACCATCGTCACATCACCTCTCATTTATAAGTTCATGCCCTTCGAAAGGTTAAACTTAATAACATGTTTAAATCTCATCATGCTTTTTGATATTTATTGAGATGAGGAAGTAACAAATAAAAAAAGATTAAGCGACTATCTCTATACATAAAGGTTCGATTGTCTGTCTAATTCCATCATACTGTTTAGTTGGCCATTATTTTTTGAATGTCTTTGGTACTTTTTGTCGGCAAAATTATTTTGGGTCTCAAAACCCTTAGAGCATTTCCAGCAATGCAGGCTGGGCTCGGGCTGGAGGGGTTTTGGGTCTTGTAGGCGTTTCCAGCAACAAAATGGAGCTCGGGCAAGAGGTGGGGGCCAGCAGCCTGGGCTGACCCGAGGTGGGGTTCGGCCCGAGTGCTTGCCTGCGGGCTGAGCTGAAGTGGTTGGCTCTGGGCTCTTCGATCTCCTTTTTTCCAGCAATCCAATGGCAATCAATTTTTTCATAATAAAAAAAAGAAAAAAATCGAAAAAAATGTAAAAAAAAATACCCAAAAAACACTGAAATTGTTTTCTATAAATACCAACCAATACTCTTCACTTTTAACACCAACAGCCAATATTTTTGTAATAAAAAATTGAAAAAAATACCAAAAAATTACTCTCTTTTTTTTCTCTCTATACCTTATTTTCATTTTCAACATTTAAGTAAATGTCTTTGTCTTTTTACTTTTATTTATTTTTATATTACTCCATTTACTTAAGTTTACAATGTAAATAAGGAAGTACCCCACATTTGGATTCAAATAAAAATACTAGAAAATCAAATTCCCACCAAATCAAAATATGAAAAATCGGTTTTAGTACAAAATACGATTTAGGCTAAAAATGATGGTTCATTAAGTCAATATATACTTCATATTAAAATCCCATAAAATCAAGTTTTCTTATTTGATGTGTAAGGAATAAAAGCCGTCAATTTTTTTTTGTTGAGAAAATGATTATTTCGAAAAACTATTTTTCATACTTAGTCAATATTGCACCTCCGCTAAAAATCTTGAGAAAATGATTTTTCATACGTAGGAACCCAAAAATCTTATCCAAATTAATTGTTTAAGTAAACAAAGTTGTGAAAAAATAAATAAAAAATGAATAATATTTGTCATGGCAAGCCTAAACTGCTGAAAACACATTTTGCTAAGGGAGGGTAGGGCAGCCACTATTCACATGAATAGTAGCTGCCCTAGGACTCCTCTTGCCATGGCAAAAAGCTAATTAGTGAAAGTGCTCTTATACACATTACCAAAATCATAATTTTATTTTTATGTGTTTAATATTATTTTTTTACATTTTTTCTGAATTTGACAATTTGAGTTACTGAATTACCTTAGCCACCTCTCTCTTTATTTTAGGGTTTCTCGGCGGGTAACAGAGGGGCAAAACTAGAGTGACCAGAAACGGCACAGAGAAGACAAACCAGTCGCCATGGGGCGTATGCACAGCAGAGGGTTCGTTTTTTCTTGTTATCTGAACTGGCTCTGTAAATAAGCTCCTTGAATCCTTCTTGCATTCAGTTGATTTGTTTGACATTTGACCCATTTTTTGGTGGTTGTATTTTGTGCCCTTTTTGCAGTAAGGGTATATCGGCTTCAGCTCTTCCATACAAGAGGACCCCCCCGAGCTGGCTGAAGATATCTACTCAGGATGTGAGAAACCCGAACTCTAACTCTTGAATAAGTAATTGGGTTATGTTGTGATTTGTTTGGTAAATGAGAAATTGAAGTAAGTTTTGAATATTTTGCTCAATTTCATTCCGCACTTTTGCGAAAATGAACAAAAAAGAAGAAGCTGTTCTTACCCATTTGGTATCAGACAGTAAAGGATCGTTTTTTATCTGGTAATTACGTTTTGTGGGTCTTCTTTAGTCAATTAGCAACCGAACAGAGCCTTATTAGTTCACCTCTCTCGGTCTGTCTTTTATCTTCCGTGAATGGATTGATTTATGAGATATATAGTGAGAGAAGCAAAAGACGATCTTTTGATATTTGATTGAGTTTTTCTCTCCTTTTGATTTGGAATTATTGGGTGTCTATTCTATGAAGTAACAGATTATTTTAATTTCATTTGGGCACATCTTTCCTTGCTGTCTGCACCAAATGAAAGCTCGAGTCTGATTGTTGTGTCATACATACTCATGATGTTCTATATAGCATCGAGTTTTCATACTTACAAGTCTGTTAATGCCTTGCGATTGTAGTTGGGATCTTTACAATTCTATCATTGAAAACCATAATGACCGTTTCTTTTGTTTGGTTCTAGCTGAGTGGTTTTGGCATTTTAGAATAATCAAAACTTCAAGTTTGTTTTGCGTTCCATGTTCATTTAATCAAATTTTTTATTATTATGTCTTTATATCTACAATGAATGACCACATACCTTTGTGGCAATGGAAAATGCTGCAAACCCAGTCTTCTTTATTCCATGGATGAGAGCATATTTGGTTGTCTGTTAACTACTGATATTTCCAAGAGAATTCACTTACAATGCAAAGGAACTAACACAAATTTCAATTTTGTGTATTATGCTTACCATGTGGGTTTTATCTTTAAGGTTGAGGAGAACATCTGCAAGTTTGCCAAGAAGGGTTTAACACCCTCCCAAATTGGTGTTATTCTACGTGATTCTCATGGGATTGCTCAGGTGAAGAGTGTTACCGGAAGCAAGATATTGCGTATACTGAAGGCGCATGGTGCGTCTTTTTTTATATTTCTACTGCCATATTTTGTATTATATTTGAAGACAAATGAGTAAACGATTTTTTATCCTTTTTTCTTTGTTGGGTTAGGTCTTGCCCCTGAAATACCTGAGGATTTATACCACCTCATCAAGAAAGCTGTCTCAATTAGAAAACATTTGGAAAGGAACAGGAAGGACAAGGACTCTAAATTTAGACTGATTTTGGTTGAGAGCAGAATCCATCGCCTTGCTCGTTACTACAAGAAGACAAAGAAGCTTCCACCAGTATGGAAATAGTAAGTATTTTTGTTCCGTTTACTTTTGTCTTATTCATGTGAGGGGTTTTCTTAGCCTCCCTTGAAGACACCTAATGGGATTGTTCACTCTAACACTAGGTAGAGTGTGTTATCCTATATGGAAATTAGATGCTGTAATTTAGGATTCTACTGCTTACTGTGAATGATTTCGCCTTTCCCCAGACATTCACAATCTGAAGAACCCATTATATGTGGGAAGCTAATTTTCTTATATGCTGCCCTCAAGAAACTTGTACATTGGTAGAATGCTTTCCCCTCAGACATGAAATCGATGTGAGATATGTCTAATGTTAGTGTTTGGTTTCCACCCATTTCCATAAACATTCTAGTTACAAGGTGGCATCTGTGAGAGTGAGGCTGGAGTGGGTTCTGTATATGAAATTATCTTCTTTTCATGACTGCTTATACAAATTTGCGTGTTGAAGAGCATTGCTTCTGCTGCTTGCTCAATTCAAATTATATCTTATTTTGTGTCAACTCGTTGTTCCTTAATTGCTTATATCCTTTGATCTCTTTTCGCAGTGAGTCTACAACCGCCAGCACCCTTGTGGCTTAGGTCGGATATGATCGGCACCAATTCTAGGTGCTCACATTGAAAAATCAGGACTAATTTTTAGTTTGTTACTTGTTTGCTTCAAGTTTGGAACTTTATGAAAATCCTCATTGTGGAACTCCTTGGTAGTTGATTTTGTTTGGATTTTCAAGTGTTCACAAATTTTTTTTGGCAGATTTATCTTTAATTTTTGAATTGGATAATTTGAATATCATTGCATCATTTGGATCCTTTGTCTGGAACATGTTTTGGAAGAAGCTTGGGAGTCATTGTAGGCTGGTTTTGGCTTAACCTATAGCAATGCGATCTTGGCATTAGGATACTTCACACAACTGAATGTTCACAGAATTTGAGTTTGACATTGTTGTTCCAGTCAAGTATTGTTTCAGTTTAATGAATTTTATGTCATGTTAATCTGTAATTCATTGCATAACCCTCCAATCAATTTATCAGTATTACATCTTATGTACCGTACAGATAACAAATGCGTCTGCGTCTGGTCAGACACCCATAAACTATATCAATTTATATTAGCATCTAAGTTTTTCAAAATCTATTTCGAATATTCCACATGCCCTTCGGAGTTAAAGTTTTAGCTCTTACATTGCCTTCACCTACTAATTTTGTCGAAAAAAAGAAAAGGGAAAATAGTTAGGGGGTGTTTGGTATCCTATTCAAATAGGGAATTCAAAAACTTTGATTTTTCTTAAAAACAAGGAGTTCTTTAATTTATTTTTAAAATTCAAAAAATTATTTGGTATACAACTTGAAAACTGTTTTCAAATCTTAAAAATTTGAGAACTTGTGGGTTGCTAGAAAAAAACTAAAAAAACATATTTTTTTGTTTTTAATAATTAGGGGTAGGGGTGGTTGCGGTTCGGTAACCGCGAATTTTTACTCAAACCGCAAACCGACCGACTATTTGCGGTTTGGTGATTTTTGAAACCGCAAACCGACCGCGTTTTGCGGTTTACCGCC